TTCTTTAAGACACTTGCTTCTTTGGCTGCTGAGCCACATCTCCTGTCTCCCTGGCTGCCTCGTCTTGGTTGCCTTTGTACTGATACATCCTATTTGCTCTGCCCATCCCCCACCTCTCCGACAGAGGACACTTATTGGGTGCCTTCCATGTGCCAGGCATTGTTACAGGTGCTGGAGATACTGCAAGGAGTAAAACAGACCAAAAGGCCTGTCCTGGCAGAACTGAAGGGAAACAGAAAACCTGCTCCCTTGTGTGTGTGTGATCCCGTGGTCCCACTTCACAGGAGCAACTTCCGCTGAGCACTGGCTGGTCCAGCAGGGCACATGAAGGGTTAAGGCAGCCTCTCTCCTGCCAGGTTCTTTTTTGGGAGGGAGGCTTTCTAGATGCTCATCTCTCTGGCCTGGCCTCCTATCTCATCTGCCAGCTTCCTGCTTTGCCTGCCCTGCAGTCCGTCTGCTACCCGTAGCCAGAGCCATCTTCATAAAGGGCACATCTTACCAAGTCACTCTATTGCTGAAAACCTTCGTGATTTCCCATTGCTCTGGGGACAAATCCAAATTCCTTCGGGAGCTGGCCTCTGCTTACCCTCCCAGCCCCTGCTCCGTTCACCTCCTCCCGTGCAGTGTATACTCCAACGGCACCGGAAGCTGGTTCCCTGCACGTACCTCCTTGCCCTCGCTCGTGCTGTGCCCTGGCCTAGAGCACCCTCTCTCCCCACACTTCTGCTAGTCTGACCCCTACTCTTCGTTCTAGACTCAGCCCCTTTTTCTCCTCCACCTGCAGTCCATGTGGCCCAGGAGCGCTCAGCACATGCAGTTATAGTTACCTATTTATTTTTCTGTCTCTCCCTGGAAGACGACACAATGGTAATTACGTGTTTAATGTCTGTCTCTGGGGGATGGTAAACCCTCTGTGTGCGTGGGCTGTGTCTGTCTCATTCCCACTGTATCTGCAGCACGCTCAGCTGGGCAAGGAGGAATAAACATACACAGTGCTTGCACCTTGCTACCTGTGGGCCCGGCCAGGAATTGTTCTAAGAACCTCACAAGCGTCGCTAAAATCCTCACCACAACTCAATGAGGAGCAAACGGTTATTAGCCCCTGTTTACAGGTGAGAAAATAGGCACAGAGCAGTTAATGATTCCCTCTTAAGTGTAGAGGCACGCTTAGAATCAGACAGTTTGCCCCAAAACTGTGCTCTGGACCACAGTGCCTGTTGCATGGATGGGTGGTGGATGGTGCCTGGACCCTGGGCATCGAGCAAGCACTTGGTGAATGACAGCTGTTGTTATTATCACTGTGGTGTTCACACTCCCAGGCATCCACGCCTCTCGAACGGGAATAGGATCTGTTTTACTCACCTCCGTATACTCAGCATACCCCACACGGTTGGGACTAAATAAATATTTCCTGAAAGAGTGAAAACCAAGTGACCCAGATCCTCAGAAGTATAAGGAGTAACTTATTTTATCATAATGACCTGATTCTACCTTCCTAATGTGTGTTTAAATTAAATTCCATTTTTTTATTAGGTAATACTTACATGTTGTGCTATTCAAAGTTGCAGAGAGTCCCTCTTCCACCAGGGTCACCCTGTGGCACAACTCCAGAGGGTACCATTCACATAAAATCGTGTAGCAGCCACTGCTCCTGATCAAGCCCCCATCTGCTCAGTTTCCCTCTCTACAGCCATCACTGGTGCCAAGCTCTTCTCCATCCTTCCAGAGCAGGTCTCTGTGCATTTGAACTGATCGGTTGTGTGTGTGTTATTCAATACAGAAGTCTTCACCTTGCCTTGTTCACTTTACATCTTTGGGAGTTTTTGCATTTGAGGCGTATAGAGTAGGCTTATTCTTTTAATGGTTACATATCATCTATGTATGGTTTAGATGGACGGTAGGGATGTACCATAGTTTAGCTTCTCCTCTACTTAACCAGTCCTCCATGTATTTAAGCAGCCTCTATTAGGTTGTTTCTAAATTGTTTCTATTATAAACAGTGCTGCCTCTGTGCTGGCATTATCTCATCCACTTTTGAACACATCTGGAGGTTATATTCCCAGAATTGGATTGCTTGGGTAAAGCAGAGGAATGACTTTCTAATGGTAGAATTTCAGTCATCTGTGACAGGCACAGATAAGATATGTTTACACTGAGGCTTTGGGTGTTTCAGATCCTGCTAAGGAATTGATTGGCCATGGGTCCTCCTCTCTGGCATATTCGATACTGGGGAATGATATTTGTGGGTTTGATAGTTTGTTATTCTCTAAGGAGAAAAGAGAGACCTCACAGCAGAAAGGTGGCTTCTTGGAGTCTGACCAAGTCTTACTGACTGGATCCCATCTGACCTTACTTCTAGAGTAAGACCTAGCAGGACAACGCAACACCTGGGCCACTCAGCAGTGAGTTCACGGAGGTCCTGAGAAGCCTGAGTCCAGGGATCAGTCCACAAAGAAACATGTTTGAACCCTGGCCCCAGAATCACCTTGCGGGGAAAGGGACAAGGCCTCTGATGTTCCTGAGGATGTGATTCCTATTAGCACCACAGGATAGATGATGGATGGGTGGGTGGATGGATGTAAGGTTGGATGGATACATAGATACATAGAAAATATCCATAGATAAATAGGTATTGATCAAGCAAGCATGAACTTAGACTTGCTTTTGAATTTGGGCTCTGCTACTTCCTATTTATGGAACTCCTTTGACTTCCCTGAGCCCCAGTTTCCTTGCCTATAGTGGGAATGTCTTCTTTGTGGGGCAGTGGTGGGGAGCCAGTGGTTGTAAACGAATGAGGGTGAAGGGCCCAGCACAGTGCCTGGCCCACAGTGCTCTCCCTATCATTTATTTTATGACTGACTTGCTCTGGTTGGTTACTGAGGGCATTTCTTTGGCAGGAGCCAATGAACATGTACTTCACGCTCTGTTTGGCCCCTGCCTTCAAGGGAACGACCCTGTTGAGTGGGGGTCCTCGACCTTCTTTCCCTCCCAGCGTGCACAGCCAGTGACATTAAGTGCCTGGCACGCTCCCCGCATGCACTGCACAGGGCAGGATTTCTACCTACACTCATCTATCTCCAGGCTAGGGAAGTAACATTATTATAGGAATTACCTAGATCCACTTACATTTATATTAAAACAATAAATAAAGGAAAGAAAAGGCAATTACCCTCAGATTTGGGTCTTCTGGCTACAATTTATTTGCAAAACAGCACCCAGCTTGCATCTGCTGCCTTATAGAGCAATAATGGGGAGCGAGGGCCCACAGATACCTGTGGGGTGTCGCATTTCGTCGGGTTCGGGGTAAACTCCACTCTCTCCTCCGGATGTGAAGTGAGGTCAGTTATCAGAGGGCTCTGGCCACTGACCCACATGGTTATGGAGTGGTTCTCTCTTCAAACTTTGCTGAATGCCTGGCTGAGGTGCTAAGCCCTCCACAAACCTCAAGGGAGCCACAGACATCCAGGACGTTAGCTGGTACCTTGGATGCTGGGCTAAAAGGACAGGCTTGCCAGGCCCAGCGGGGGCTTGCTCAGTCTGGCAGGCAAGCACAGGCTTGACCTGCCAAAGCAGCTGCTTTAAGCCTCAGTATCTTCAGCTGGGGTATGGAATCCAATCTCACCTGACCCTCCCGGCACCCCTACCCCAGCCCATGGGAACCGACTGTCCTCTCCTCTGTGCCTCCACGGCCCTTTGTTCCTGCAGCTATGAAAGCACCTGCAGTCAGTTTCAAATGTATCTCTACCCCTTCCAGGACAGTATCTTTATATTTTTTGTGTTAGAGATTTTATACAATCTCAAATTCTTCATGAAAATAGCCATGAGGTTTACATGATCTTCTGTCTGGGAGATGAGAGTTGAAAACACACATTGGTGATTTGGAATTCCATTGGGCTCGTCTCTGTAGATAGAAAGAACTGTGGAAAATCAGGCTTGTCCAGAACCTTCGCTGTGGACACTGCCCTTGAATCCTGCTTTCAACCAGCCTGCAGTCAGTCATTCAACAGACACGTATGAACTCCCACTTTCATGTCAGGCACTATGCTAGGCACGTGGTATATTTAGATGAGGAGGACATGGGCTGTGCCTCGGAGGCCAACACAACGTGGCTATCTAGCCCTAGATTTTGCTGACATGTTGATGCCTCTCTTTCTAGAGTATAAGAAGTCAATTTATAGGATTACTTTTTGAGCATATTTTCCTAGAGCTTTGAGACTATCTCTATATTTTAAAATTTACAGTTTTTATTCATTCACCAAAAATCACAGTATAAGACACTGTGCCTATAGTAGTGGTGAGAGGAGGGGATATAAAGAAGAAAACATAAAATCTCTACCTTCTAGGTCCTAAATCTAAATAACAGAAGTCATATGTAGACAGAAAATCTAGCCTATTAATTCCTTTGTGAGCTCACGTGGTATGCATTCGTTTCTTCACTTACTCGTAAGTAGGTTTGGTGTGTGCTACGTGCTTAGGCTGTGATAAGTGCTCTGGGGGCTGAGGAAGAGCCCTAAGTTATGGACTTACCCTCTAGGCACTCGGGGTCTCTCTGGGAGAGAGAAAGGGGGTTCAGGGTCAAGTAGAACATCAGGCTGACTGCAACTCCAGGCCCAAATCAGTGGCTCAAAGAATGCTTTGGGGGCAAGGCAGCTCAGCCCCAGCCAGCACGAGCCTGTTGGATACATCTTGGAGGTAGAAGATTCTGAACCAGTTCTGAGGAATGGAAAGGCCTTCTGGGAGGGAGGCAGGGAGGACATTCCAGGCCAGAGAAAGAGCATCTTTAAGTGTCAGGAATTTCTCATTAGAAACTGAGACATGAAGGGGATGGGGCTGGGCGAGAACTTGCTCCAAATAACAACCACCCCAGGACAGGGCCAGGAGCAGCCCTGGGCAGGTCGGGAGGCAGTCCTCATGCTGCATCTGCTGCCTTCCAGGGAGCTGTGCTTTCTCATCTGTCCCTCCCTGTCCCATAACCCGGATCCTCTGTGGCCCATCCAGGGATGACCTTCCCACTCCCCCTGAAGTCCCGCCTTCCCTCTGCTGTGAGGAGTTTGATTCTACAGAAGAAACCAAACCTCAGAAACATGTCCAGCATGGCTAGGGGTGAGTGGTGCTAAGATGTTAAACAAATATTCCCTGGAAATACCAGCCACGTAGGGCCCAGGAACTCCTGAGACGCCTAGCTTCTGCACGGGAGACGGAAAGTCAGAGCAGAAGGAGATTCTCGCTGGTCACTAATTAACTTCCCAGAAGGAGCGGGCACCTTGGACCAGACTCAGGTGTGAAGGCTATCACCAACCAGCTCTGCTTGGTCCCCACAGCTCCATAGGCAGAACCACCAACGACCTCCGGTGATGGAAAGGTTTTCCCTTCTGGGAAAAGTGCCCCCATGTTACGCCGCATTTTAATCTGCTTTTGATTCAGACCAAGTCTCCCTCCTTGGACCGGTGGCACCCATCTCCCTACTACATCCCGGGAGTGACGCCCAAGACTCTAAAAGGTCCTGCAAGAGAAAACAGATATCCAAATTGTCACTGACCTGGATCCCAGCAAAATTTCACAACGGGAAAGACTTTTCTGGTTCTGGTGGAGTCACCAGCAACACAGATTAAAATACTAAAGCAGGACAATTTTCCTTGTTTATGGACACGTCCGGCCTCTGTCGCTATTTGTGGGCCAACAATTATCTAGTCTTGCCTAACAAACGACCCCAAACTTAGTGGTTTAAACCATAATTCTGCCCTGAGGCTGGGCTCCACGGGTGTCCACTGGGCTAGACAACCAAGATGGCTTCTTCCTCACATGTCTGGAGTGTCCACTGGGATGGCTGGAACCACTGGGACTAGCCTCTCATTTCTCTCTCTAGGAAGCCCCTCTAGCAGTGGAAGCCAAACTTCTTTACGGAGTAGCTCAGGCCTCCGTGGGAGATATTCCAAGAGGACAAGCCCTAATGCACAAGCACATATCAAGCCTCTGCTTGCATCACACCTCCTAATGTCCCGTTAGCACAGCAAGTCATGTGGCCCAGGCCAGCGTCAAGGCGGAGGGGGCTCCTAATGATGTGAATACCGGGAAGTGTGCTTTACAGAGTCAGCAAGGAACAGTGGACCACAACCCTTTGTACACATGATGGACCAGCAAGCCCTAGCTCAACCAGGTCGACCCTGCTCACTAGAACCTTGGGGGGCCAAGGGCGCAGGTGGCTCCTTACTGGCTGTTGCCGTGGGCAGACTGTGTGACCTCTCTGAGCCTCATCTATTACTGAAAGTAACCACGGAATCTTCCCCACAGAGCTGATGTACATAAGATGCGGGACCCACGTTAGCTGCTGTCTGTCGTGGATTCTCCACAAGGAAAGCAGTCCATTTTGTGGAACAGCTGGCGCTCTCCAGCTTGGGACTACGTCTTCCAGGGCTTTAGATCAGATTAGGAACATTAAAAGGCTTCTGCTGCTGCTTCTTCTTTTTTGTTTCTCTTGTTATTAAGTATTTTTTAAAAAAATGAAAACATTGATTTTTGGGTAAAAGGACTCAGAGGACACACTTCATTTCTCGCCACAAAGAAAAAGCTGTCGTGACCTTAGGTGGAGCCCGAGACAGCAGACCATAAAGTAGCCCCAGCTCGTGTGTCCACCGTCCCTCCAAAAAGGCACAACGGAGCCTTCTATTCCAGGTCCTGTTACTAATGGGGACGACGCGGGGACTTTCTATGACCAGCAGTAGAGATGAGCAAAACCGAAACACAGTGCCTTCTGAAGTACATTTAATTAAAAAGGAAACAGAGAAGCTTTGTGCACGTAATACCTCGTGATTTATGGTATTAATCCAGTTTGCTCTTGAAACAGGCTTCGGAGGTAAGAAAGGTGTGGGGAGGGGATGGGCGGCCTCTAGGCTGGCTGAATTCCCTTCCCTCACTCCAGATTATTTTTGGAGCACGCTGGGCTTGCTTGAGCCGTGCAGCCAGCTTCCTTGAGCTTTCGGCAGCGGGGGGTGTTCAGTTTGACCTCCTTTGCAAAGTCTGTAGCATTGGCAGGCTCTGTAGGGTTTGAGGTAATGAGTTCCAGGCAGTTAGAGCAGGAGCCAGTCCCAGACTTTCCCTGCAGAGGGTCACATCTGCTTCACTACCCCATGCCCAAGGAGGAAGATGCTGGAGGTGATGGTGGACCCATCCCGGGGAGGCCCGTGCCCGCAGCCCAGTGGTGACCTCAGAGGGACACAGGGGTCATCTGTCTGAGGCTTGAATCCTGGCTGTGCCACATACCAGCTGTGTAACCCTGGGAAAGTCACTCTATCTCTCTGAGCCTTACTCTCCTCTTGTATAAAATACAGATGGTTGATTACACATGTAAATTACTTAGCACAGAGATCCTGGTACATAATAAGCACTCAGAAAATATTAGCTGACAGATATTATTGCAGAAAAGAAATGTCCACTTGCTGATAGAGCATACCTGGCATTTAGGAGATTTGTCACCACGGTTATTTCTCCAAAAGAGTATATTTTTCTTCGGGATGATCTTTTTTTTTAAGGAAATAGTCCTTTTTTTTGAAACATAACTTTTCTTGTTTGTTTTTCCTCCAGTTACAGTTTTCCTCCAGATACCTATTTATTGCATAAATTCTAGAATATTGAGGGAAGCACAAAGGAGAACATTAAAATCACCTACCATCTTGTCAGTGGAGATAGCCGTGATTAACATGAAGATGTGTTTCCTTCTAGTTCTTTCTCTCATCTCCTTTAAAAAGGAGAATATGCTGAACATAATGTTTTGTTACCTATTAATGTTCCTTTAATGGTACATCCCAAATATCTTCTAATATCTTTAAATATTTCTTCTGTACCATAATTTTAAATGTCTATACAAGATTCACTGAATGAATGTAACTCCAACCCCTACTTCCCGAATACCGGTGTGTTAGGTAATTTACACACAGGAAAGGACTCAAGGAGTTCTCTTTGAGGTAGGTATGATTACTGCCATCTTATCCATGGGAAAACCAAGCCCTGGGTCACAGCACTGGCCAGAGGCAGAATCAGGATTCAAACTCGGGTTTGTTTGCCTCCAAAGCCAAAGGACTTCCCATTCCAGAGGTGGGCTGGTTGCCCCCGGGGGAGACTGTGGCGTGCACGTGGGGGTCTTCCTCTAAAACTCCAGTAAGACTCTCTCTTTGGAGGAGAGTCGAGGATTCTGAGCCTGCCCAGTTAAGAACCTGCCTAGACAAAAGAAGTGAACGGTCTCTTGCCCAAAAAGGACACCCAAATGGCCAATAAAGCATACAAAAAGGCACTCATCTGCATTACTCATCAGGGGAATGCAAATCAAAACCACAGTTCGATGCCACTGGAAAGGCTGGGATGAAAAAGGCAGAGGCAACACCAAGCGTTGAAGCGGGTATGAAGCAACCAGGAACTCACGCGCCCCCTGGTGGGAGTATAAATCGGTACAACTGGGATCGGCTGGGACCTGGGACCGTTTGCTGCAGTGCTGCAACGCTTGCACCTGGACGAACGTCCCCTCGAGCTACAAAATGCGAAGACTAAAAATAACTGTGTGCATGCGCAGTTGGGGCAAATTCTGGACAAAAGATAACAAAAAGACCGAAAAACCCAACTGCCACTTCTCAAGAGCTGGGAGCAAAAACAGGGAGTCAGGAGCAAAAGCAGGGTACTGTGCATGACCCCTGCACTCAACGCCACCAAAAGGGTGGGCAAAACACCTAAGCCACAGCTCCGGCCCAGACCCTAGACACACCCCTACCCTCACCCCATGTAAGGAACCAGCTTACCCTGCGTCGGGAAGCGAGCAAGGGAACCTGTTACTTATTGTCGTTCCCTCCTGCGGCCGCAGGGGCCCCAATAAAGGGGCCAATCACCAAACCCAGAATTTCTTGATTGACCTCTTATCAATTTCTATTGATTGGGGAAGGCCAAGAGCCCTGGTCAATATCACAACCACTTTGGAACCTGCTCAGCCGCATCTACTAAAGCTGAGCAATTATATTTCCTACAACCGTAGGTATGTGCCAAACAGAACCGTGCACACGTGTGCCCAAAATGCATGTACTAAAGGGTTCACGGAGGCACCATTTGTAATAACCTGACACCGGAAGCGATTCAAATATCCATCAGCAATAGTTTTAGGTAGATGCATTGTAGTAATGAGTATACCACAGAGCAATGAGAATGAACCCACTATTGGTGAGTGAAGGAAGGTAGACTCAAAAGACACATACCGTATGATTCCGTTCTAGGAAGAACATGTACGAAGGACAGGCAAAAGGAATCTGTGGTGTTAGAAGTCAGGGCAGTGGCTATCCCTGTGGGGGGCGTGTGGAGGATGATGACCAGGAGGGGCATAGGGGGTCCTGGGATGCTGGTAACACTCTGTGTCTTGACCAGGATGCCGGTTCCATGGATGCGTTCATTTTGTGAAAGTTATCAAGCTGTACACGTACGTGCGTTTTTCTGTGTGTATGTTACGCTTCAACAAAAAGTTAAAAAGCCTCTACAAGAAGGAACTGACTGCATTCTTCCCTTCTCTCACCAAACCCAGGGCTCCAGCCAGCCAGTGTGGTGGCCCTGCCCAGGTCCCTTGCTCCGGCCTTTGAAAAGTTCTGCCAAGTCAACAGTGGCCCTCTGCCGCTGCTGGGCCAAAGTGAGCCAGGCAAGTGGACGTTGCCTGCCCTGGGTGCTGTCCCAGGTACCAGGTAAAAAACCTGAGTTTTCGGGGTTAAAGCTTGGGAGTGGCCAGATGCTGCAGCCAGGTGTGTCTGTCACCAGGAACCTCTCTGTCCAGCCTGGGGGACCCCATGGTGCCTGGCATGGAGCCTCACTCATGACTGTTGCTTTGGAAGGGGCTGCCGTCTTCGCATGTCCACTCCTACCCCTGTCCCCTGCCCCTGCCTCTGCCCTGGGAAAAATCTTTGGGACTACCAAGAAAGTCCAGCCCTGGACAGGTGGCACTGCCATCCGTCCACTTCATTGCCCAAGCTAGAAACCTGACTCCACAGGATTAAGAAGGATATAAAACCACCTGCAATTAAATCCAGAGACAGACATTGTTAATACTGTCATGAATGTTCTCCCAGACTTTTTTTTTTTTTTTTTTTTTTTTTTGCGGTACGCGGGCCTCTCACTGCTGTGGCCTCTCCCGTTGCGGAGCACAGGCTCCGGACGCGCAGGCTCAGCGGCCACGGCTCACAGGCCCAGCCGCTCCGCGGCATGTGGGATCCTCCCGGACCGGGTCACGAACCCGTGTCCCCTGCATCGGCAGGCAGACTCTCAACCACTGCGCCACCAGGGAAGCCCTCCCAGACTTTTAAAATACAACATATGGAATAAATGGCCCTACTGATTCTGCTTCCATAGTAGCACTTGGGGAGCCCACATTTCTCCTGCCCTAGCTCAGGCTCACATCTCTCTCCGAAAATCCTGTGACGTCTTAACTGTTCTCCTTGTCCCACTCTTTCCCTCTCCTATTCTCCCAACCCATCCCCATCTTCTCTCCCCCTGGAGTGACTTTTTCTACATCTGATCACGTGACTCCCTCATTTAAAGTTCTTTGGTGTAGGGACTTCACTGGTGGCGCAGTGGTTAAGATTTCGTGCACCCAATGCAGGGGGCCCGGGTTCAATCCCTCGTCAGGGAACTAGATCCCACATGCATGCCGCAACTAAGGAGCCCACATGCCACAACTAAGGAGCTCCTAAGACCCAGCACAACCAAATACATACATACGTACATAAATAAAATATTTTTTTTTAAATACAGTTCTTTGGTGCCTTCCTGTGGCTTGTACCTTACTTGATATCAGGCCTGTAGTGACCAGGCCCTGGCTCAGTACCTAACCCCCTCCGACAGTCCAGTCATCCCCAACCATCTCCTCAGAGAAAAAGTTCCCAGGAACATTCTTCTCTTATCATTTGTGGACTCCAGGGGTGGGAGGGGCCTTCAGAGCCCCACCTGGGTCCGAGGTCAGCTCCTTTGCGAGCCCCTCCCATGCTGCCCTCTCAGCGGCTCTTAAGGCCTTGATGCCTCCATGCTGTTCACATGCCGCTCCCTCTGCCTAGGATGTGCTTTCTCCCTTGTCCAGCTGGTGAACTCCTATTCAACCTTTAGGACCCAGCTCCAGCCTCTCCCCATTTGTGGGAGAGAATGGATTTCTCCCTTCTCTGAGTCACTCCTCTATCTAGGCAGTTAGCACTCACTGCTCTGTATTGCTAGCATCTGATTTCAATGGAGCCTCGCCTGCCAGTGTGGGATTTCAAGCTTCTTAAAGGCTGGCCGTTATCCTCTCCATCACTATAGCCCATCACCTGGCCTGTGCCTGGCACGGAGGAGCGACTCAGCAAAATGGTTTTGGAGTGAATGAAGAATAGGCTTATGACTGAAGACTTTCAACCCTGTGGAGGAGTTTCTCTAAGAGAGCAGAGAAAGACCTTTCCACTGCTAGCACTGAGAGCTTCCTTGTCCCTTTGGTCTGCGGGCCTCGCCTCGATGGCAGAGAGGGCACCATTGTCCTTTTCTTGCTGGTTTGGCTGGTTTCTGGTTGAGGTTACAGGAAATATAATAGGGTAGAGGCAGGGGCTACAGTATATTCATGCTGATTTGATAGTTTCCAGTCTGGAAAGGATGAAGGATGTTGAAGGATGCCAGCAAGGCCCCCTGCCCAAAACTGTGCTCACCACCTTGGTGCTGGTGTCTGAAATTTCAGCCCCAGGTGTCCTCTTCTCCCTCCCCAGTCCTTTTTAAAAATGCATTGTCAGAGTCCATACCGAGTCTGGGGCCTATGAGCTTTCCCTTGTGTCTCCAGGATGGGCTGTCCCAGTTCTGGAAGTATGAGTTCGGCACCTGCACGGGCAGCCTGACCTCGCTGGAGGAGTCCTCGGGGCAGCTGAAGGACATGATGGCCTTCCTCCTGGGCAGCAGCTTCTCCCTGGAAGGGGCCTGGGAGAAGGGGGGACTCCCCAGAAGGGACTCAGCAGGCCACGGCCACAAGGGTGCATACAAGGTAGGGACGCAATCCACAGGGGCAGAATGACTTGAGAACGTGGGTTGGGTCATCTTGTATTTTCCTGCAGTGGGGAGAACAATGGTGCAGGAGGCAAGAGACCTAAGCTCTGGCCACTTTCTAGCTGGGCAATCCAGGACAAGCGGTTAACCTCTCTGGGCTTTTTTTCCTCATCTGGAAAATGGGACCACCAGCCTCTCCCCTGCCTACCTCTGTGAGCACCCAGCATGCCCTTGGGAGTGCGAGTGAAGCCCTTCCGGGCAGATCACTGTGCTGTGTACACCAAACCTGTTTGGAATTTGTCTGGAATTTGTCTGGCTCCTTTAACTTCGGGCACCTCAGTGAGATTTTTGAAAAAGCTCCCTGGCAGAGGGGAGAGCGCGCCTGGCTGGGTAAATGCCCAGGGATTTGTGGCAGAGCCTTGGCCAGGCTGTTAGCTGCTAGGTCATGTCTCTGTCAGGAAAGCTGGGTCATGTTCTTGGCCAGAGGCGGCCGCTGGTGGTCACTAATGCAGAGTGGCTGCCTCTCGGAGGACGTGCCCGCCACGGGGCCGCCTTCTGCAGTGTTTCTGAGGTTTTATTCCAGCCACTGCTTGTCACGGGGTAGGGAGATGGGGGGAGTGGAGAACCAGATCGCTCGTTCCCCTGACCCCTTCTGGACAGTTGTGTGAAGTCTGAGAACATACTCTGCTGGATGGATGGGCAGCCAGTGTCCACAGCCAGCCCTAGGTTTCTTTACGGAGGACGCAGATTGGAGATTTCATCTTGGGTCTGAGACGTTTATTAAAACTTGCCTGGTTTGGGCTCCTGCCAGAGGGGCCCAGGCTGCCTCTGATGAGAAACAAGGCTGCCCACAGTGCGTGCTGCTTTTCATGTGTGAAATATGTGTCTGAGCAGTTTTCTTGACGGTTGGGAAGGCGGGTTGCAGAACCGCAGCTGCTGGCTGGGCCCCTGCAGGGCTGGCCCTGGAACACACCGCTGTCTGTGGCAGGTAGGAGCCGGGAGGGCCTCGCGGCTCATCCCGGCCAGCCTTTCATTTTAGATGCAGAAGCTCAGGCTCGAGAGAGAAAGGGACTTGCCTAAATCCCAAAGCCAGGCTGGAACCCAGGACTCCTGGTTCCCATCTGTAAAATGCCCATAGTGGAGGTGTGCCAATTATAAGATGCTTTGCACAGAGGTGCCCATTGCTGCCCAGAGGACGTGCTCTGCAGAGCCACGGTCTAGCCACACCTCACCATCCCAGTGGATACCAGATAGCTTTCTGTTTAACATCGATGCCTCTGCCCGTTGGCTGCTGGGAGAAATGGCCAGGCTGCCATCATGGATTCGGTTGGCGGCCTTGAGGGGATGCAGGGAGTCCCCCAGAAGGAGGCTCCTTGGCCTTGAGGAGTGCTGCCGGTCTCTTGTGAGTGTCCCTGGCATGTGCTCCCTCCTGAGTGCTGTTCTGCAGACATCAACCTGGCAGGCACACCAAGGTTTCATCCTGCTACTGCCAGGGTGCTAACAGCACGTCCTTCAAGCAGCTACCAAGACTGTCCCAGTGGTGTATCCTCCTGGCCGTGGCCTGAAGCTTTCATAAGCCCCACTACAGGGACCAGAAAACATTCGGGGGGAAAAAAACCAACATAAGCAGGGCAAGTCACACAGGTCATCCTGGGCAGCTTCCACTGAGGCAGGAGGAGTGAGCAGGGCTCAGTGGGGTCTGTGGACTCATGGGGCAGAGGAGACCCTGGGGCCTCCTTCGAGGCTCCCGCTTCCTGGGGACCCTCTGCCTCTGATTCTCCTAGAGGTCTGCATTTGTGTTCACGGGCCCCTTGAGGTCTGAGGAGAAAATTCAGAGGGTCTATGAAATTGGGTGGGAAAAAATTTGCATTTTTTTCATAGCCTCAAACTGAAATGGAGTGTTTCCTTCCGTTATGATTGTAATGAAAGAAAAAAACGACACCACGTCAGCAGCCCCTTTGATTTGGTGGCTGCCCAAAGAAGTCACAGACGTGCCCATGTCACACTACAGTCCTTCCTGACACCTCAGAAATATCCCGTATGTTGATCGCTACTTCACACTTCCAAGGGTAGGTCTCCCATCTTGTTCCTTGCTTGAGTTGCTAATGAAGAAGCAAACCTATCGCCGTATCATAGTTTTTTCATAATTTGCTAACTGCATTTGCAGCATAATGGGTTTCCTTTGTAATCCTATGCATTTCCTTTTTCACAGTTAAAAATACTACTTCGACGCAGGTCCGTAGCTGCACCAGACTTCCAAAGGGGTCCAGGGTGAGTACAAAATTAAGATTCTCTGTTTTAGACCAATAATTACCAGCAATCTTCCTCATCTCTATGTCACATAAAAGTAGAAGCTAGGGGGCTTCCCTGGTGGCGCAGTGGTTGAGAGTCCGCCTGCCGATGCAGGGAACACGGGTTCGTGCCCCGGTCCGGGAAGATCCCACGTGCCGTGGAGCGGCTGGGCCCGTGAGCCATGGCCGCTGAGCCTGCGCGTCCGGAGCCTGTGCTCTGCAACGGGAGAGGCCACAACAGTGAGAGGCCGCGTACCACAAAAAAAAAAAAAAAAAAAAAAAGTAGAAGCTATATTTTTATGATGGCTACTTGGACCTCCTCCTTCACTGAGCTGCTTTGAACTCTTGGTTCTGAGGGCTTTCATCTGTGCTGATTCTATTTTTTAACATTTTTTCACTTGATTTCTTGGCAGACAGAGGTGCCTTGTGCCACCATTGCTGGCTTTTGCTGCCCTCTGGTGGTCACAGTGAGGCCCGTTCCCAAGGACAAACTGGAACAGCTGGTGCAGGCCTGTTGCTCCGTGGGGGGTGAGCATATGGACAACCGGTTCACACTGGCGACCCAGGTCAGTGTCCACTCTCTTTCATGATTCTGACAGCTGCGGGTGGACTGCTGCCTGAGAAGACGGGAACTTGCTGTGTTCCTGAGTTCCCCTGACGTGTCCTCATCTTTCCCAGCGGTCCTGGGGGTTAAGGCCCTGGACAAGACCCAGATTCCTGCAGTAGCACCAGGGCTGGGTTTGCAGGTGCCCTTCAGGTTTGAAGGTGACGCCCCTGGCAGAATAGCCAGCCTAATCCATTGGTCCCTGTGAACTTCAAGTGAACCAGGGGTTGGGGAAGCAGGTGGTGGAGGATGTCAGCAGAGCTATTTGCCTTGAAATTTGAAATCATAGTAACCGCTAATCTAGGCTATTGTTCAGTGGCATATCTGGGCAGGGGATAGCTTCCTTCGAAATGTTAACTTGAGCCGAAAGCCATTGATCCCCAGTGTATTAACTCAATCTGCTGGCAAGTGAGCAGATCCAAGTGTGGAAGCTTCCCAGGCCTCTTGGAGGCTCTCAGAGGTCCTGATGAGAGCTTGGGATTGGGTCTTGGGTGAGAGTCAGAGTTCAGAGTAATTGAACTCACTCAGCTGCTTAACAAACAAAATCAGACAAAGCCCGGCCTTCTGCAAAAATGCAACCGGCACCTGTCACCTCCCTCACAGAAAGATGGTCTCAGGACCACCCAAAGCAGCGTGTCGGCAGTTTTATTATTAGTGGGATGAATTGAACCCAATACATCCATCTTTGCTGTCTTCGTGAGCACTCTGATATCCGGCCAGGGGTAGGGATGCTGTTGGTCGTCAAGCAACAGAGTTTCTGTCTAGGTTATGTGACTCGGTCTGCACCAAGATAAACTCAAAATCGCAATCTGTATGATGACAGTGTTGGACTAAATGCCCCCCTAGTCTCCTCCAGCAATCACACCAAGCATTTAAGATTCCATGCTCTGAAACTATGCCCCTCAAAATGCACTAGAAGTCAGCAAGTATTCTGGGTTGGTAAAGTCCGGATTCCTGGTGTCCTCCCTGGACTTCTCCAATTTACAGTGGTTCTGTGACTAGAGTTGCTCTTGGAGAAAGAACCATAAACTACTCAACATGTTCAAATCAGATAGTACCAGCCAGTGCAGGACCCAGTGGAATTCACTTTCTTCTTCCATCTGCAGAACTGTTGGGTATCAAAGATCTTTCCAAACCTGACCACGGGGAGCCTGTGGTGTGTCAGCCAGGGCACGTTCCAGTGTTCTGGCCTTCTCAGCTGACCAGTCTCGAAGCTGTCAGCGCCTGCAGTACGTCTGGGCTTAAGGGGGCTGTTACTCTGACCTAGGAGGGAATTGGGTGGGTTTCCAGTTCCTGAATGCATAGGTTTATGGTGCAATGACTTAGGGAATAAAGTCATAAAACACAGGCCTATAGCCCACAGCAAAGATCCCTCTGACTGCTTTCTTTTCATCCCAGTGCTGGGTCTCACCAGAGCAGCTTGTCTTTCAGCTCAAATATGTTTTGATTAAATATATTTCTATCAGCGGAAGGCTCACAGTCCAATCTAACAGAGGTGCCAGTTTTGCTTGATATTTTGAGACATCTTGGAGGTTAGTGGGGCTTTGAAAGCAAAGGTGAAGGCAAGCAACTCAATTAAGCAAAGCATTTCACGTGGTATTTGCTGGGTGTTTGAAAGCAATACTGTCGTTCCTTTTTTTCAAAGGCCAAGGGTGACATTACACTGAAGCGACACACGAGGGCCCCCTAACTAGCACACAGTAAGGTAAGGATGTGACAGAGACATTAAAAATAACTGTTGCAGCCCACTGTTGTAGACAGAGGAAGATTCTAGCCAGGTCAGCCCGGCTTGCACTACAAATAATAGAATTTAGTGCTACTTTCAATTTATTTTTAAAGCATTCATGGACGCTTAGCTATTAGAATGGCCTCATGATAGGGGAAGATTATCTGTAATATGGTGATAGGGGATTCTATTCGTTTATTCACACAAATGTATTGGGAGCCTACTCTGTGCCCAGATCTTAGGAATAAAATGCTGCAGGAGACAAGATACAGTTCTCAGGGAGCTTGTGGTCATTTACAAGTGTGTGTGTGCTCACGTGTGTACACACATCCACACACCCACAGTAAATATCCTCCAGCACGATGGTCTCAGCCCTCTCCTGTCCCCTGCCAGGGGGATGCCCTGCAGAAGAGCTCTCACTGCAGCTGGGATCCCAGCACACGATAGCCCTTCAGTTCTGACTTGCGATAGCATGTTTGATTGTAAATGAGAACAAATGACATCATTGGTCAGGGATCACCTTGAATCTTTCTAATTTATAAAAATCATGCTCAAACTTCAATATTTAAACTTCTGTTAGCAATTGATTAATTGCTGCACATCTCACAACAGATGGGCCAAAACCCCATGTCACACTTCGAGCTGACTGTTCTAGTGTGTGATGGTTTAGAGTGACCAATTTTAGGTTCTGCCCCAAACACAGAAAAACTATTGCATTCATCGAAATCCTTAGTTCTTCCACTTTTTATCACAGCTGAAAGTTAAGTTAGAATGCTTGACGCATCTGTCAGTAGGTTTTCCTTCTGAAGTGTTGGCTGACTTTGGCTTTCTGTTAGATCTGAGAAATTTTACGGTTTCCTGTGAAATCCAAGACGTTGTTACTTACTCAATTCATCTCTACATTTATTGAGCACTTATTGTGTGCGCTTGTGAGATGGATAAGCAATGGTCCCTCTTCTCTGGGAATATACAGTTGAGTGGGGTTAAAGTACTCAAGGATCATAGTGACACTGAAGAAAACAGAAGGTCTAAATTAAGTTATAGTGAGGATTAAGCACCTAACAGGCCAGGCACAAGGACATGAGAGTGGATAAGATATAGCACCTGGTTCAGTAATGCAAAGCATCACCTATACCGAGGGCTTACACTGGACCAGGCACTTTGCTAAACACTTTTATGTGCATTTTCCAGTTCACTTCTGACAACAACCAGATGAGGCATTATCATTATTTTACAGTTGAAGAAACAGGTTTAGAGAGGATAAAGTCACATCTCACGCTCAAGTGTGTTCACCATGCAAAGTCATGTCTTAATAACTACGCTACAGTGCATCTGCTGCCCAGAATCTAGTGGGGGAGAACAAAATTAGCATAAACCAAAGCAAAATATAGGGGACATGAGAAAAATAGAAGCTATGTTCAGAGAGAACTATTTGTTAGCAGATCTAACAACTGCTGCAAAGTAAAGCCAGATGGCTTGATGCGTTGCAAGTGTTTAATAAGTACTTTCTGATATCCACAGGATTGCATTGATGGAAACTCCTAGAGCCCCAACTGTAGCTGTGGGTACCTCACTTCTTTGCCCACACTCAACCCATCTTCACCTTCCTAAAAATCAGGGGCCCCCCTTAATGTGGAACTTGATTTAGTCGTAAGCCAGCTCGTCCTGGCCTGGTGCCAACAAATGGGTAAGGAGCGCCGCCAGCTAAGCCAAGGCATGGGCGCCATCTTTCCCGTTAACGGTGGGCTAGACGGGCATGGACGGGGTTTGATGAAGTGGGCTGGGCTCAGACCCTCCTGTTGTGTGCCTTAGAGATGCCACTGGCTTTCACCAGCGCACCGGCTTGCACAGTTATGACTGACCTGAAGGGTACGGCGGCTCCGGCCAGATGTCTCACCCCTGAGGGAATGCCAGAGGTCCATCACATTTCCCAGGATCCTTTGCACTGCAGCATGGCGTCAGCTTCAGTCGCTCAGAGGGTCAGAGAACTGGAGATGATAATTGCCATCGACCCCGGTAAGAAACAAGCAGTCACACCTCAAGGACCTGGAGAAGTTCATCACTGATGAATGTTCAGGGGGAAAAGCAGCATGCCAACTGTGTCTACAGTATGATTTTTTTTTTTAATGCTAATACTGTGTATGAATCCGGAAAAAAGTAAATGCACCAAAATACTAACGGTGATGATCTCTGGATAGCGTGATTTTGGATGATTTTTTTTCTTCATTTTTTTCCCCCAAATTTTCAACACTAAACGTATGAGGGAGTTTGGGAGGTGGGCACGTTCCCATCCAGAACTAAATTGGGGTTGAGTAGGGAAGAAAAAGGGAGAGGAATGGTTCCTAGGTAGTCAACTGCCACTGTTTAACCAATGTCATCCGTCATTCCGTAATAATGTCCCAAATCGTCTTCTTTTGTGCCATTGCCTGGGGTTGGGCGTAGACTAGATTTTGTGCACTGGGCAGCGGAGATAGGAGGGGGTGTTGGATTGCTCCTCCTTGGCGGATCCTTGGTGGGGCAGGACCCTGCAGAGACAACCTCACAACAGTTTGCAGCCGACATGTTTATTGTATTTGGCATCTCAGAGGATAGCCCTTCTGTGGTTTGAGAGCCGCTGACTTTCTAGACATGAGACAGGGCTGCTGGGGTCCAGTAGGGGTCTGCTGGTTCCAGTTAGGAGGAGGTTTGCTGAAAGGTGCTTGTCTGTTCGTTCATTCACTCACTCATTCATTCATGCTGCAGAAAACAGTTTCCTTTTCATGAAAACACATAGTAAGTTTGGGATATCTGTTCATTACAGATGCACGTTTCAGGACACACACATACATAGAGTCGTGGCTGTGTATACACAGAGTTTCTGACATAGCTGGTCTCCGTGGTGAATATTTTTAAAAATTCTGCAATACTTTCTGTCTCACAAACATTCTTACTCAGGCTGACGGCTCTCCTGCTCAGTACAAGTGTCATGAGGGAAGATGTATTGTTAGCTCTGCCATTAGCTCAGATAAAAAAGTAACTGGGAAGTAAATTTACTGCAGACACGTTGCTCCCGTTGCTTAATCAAAATGATCTGGGAGGTCGTCCACAGCAATACCCTCAGTGCTTGGATGAACTGTGTGTCAAGGCTTGAAGCATGAAGCTCGGGGGATAGGCAGATTTATGACTGTCCAGAGGTGCCAATATTGTTTATCAAGGAACATCTTTAACCCTCAAGAACAACAGAGGCTTCTGATTCCCACTGTATTAAATAAGCAGGTATAAGACTGATGGCCATACAGTGAACACCAGTCACAGAGCATAATAATAGAGTCACTCAGTCATTTTTGAGAGGACCTCACATGGCTGGCGTTTGAGGTGCCTGGAGAAGATGAAGAAATGCAGGTTTATAATGTTAATGTTTGTGCTAATAATAACATCATCATAGATGGATGGACGGCTTTCAAGTTGACAAAGGTCTCTCTCCCCTATTCTCTCTATCAGGGCTCACCACATCCTATTAAATAGGTTACATTCCAATTTTTTTCTTTTAAGATGTTGTTATTCTTCTCCCCACTTATCAACAGTAATTCATGTTTATTGTACAAACATCAGAAAACATGAAAGAGGCAATAAAAATTACCAGGTTCCCATCACAATTAACCATTATTAACAGTTTTATGTTTGCCCTTAAAGTCTTTTTCTTCAGTCTTGAACCTATAAGACTGAATGTATATATATATATATATAGGAATCATACTGTGATACTATTTTAGGACTTGCTTCTTTCCCTTTTAAATGTATTGTGAACATCCTTCTATGTCATTAAATATCACCACAACATCCTTTATAGTGTTTGCATAGAATTCTATCTTATGAATGTTCTACCATTTTATTAATAGCCTATTATTTGACACCACAAACAATGCGGCACTGAACATCCTTATGACTACATTTGTGTACATACCCATGATCACTTTAGTAGGATAAATTCCTAGAAGTGAATTGCTGGCTCCAGTGGAGTGTACAAATCTAAGGTACAAATCACCCTCCGGACAAATGTTCCCGTTTCTACTCCCACAGGCAGTACGTGAGGGGCCCTTGCCTCACAGCCTTCCTCCACCTGGACCACCCCCAGCTCCATGTAGGAAAACTGATGTTCAGAGCAATCAAGGGACAAGGCCAAGGTCACATAGCTGTGACGTGCCAGTGCCTGGCCTTGAATGTACGTTTCCAGATGCTGAATCTGGAGCTGTTCCTCCATAACCAGAATCCACACCCTGTGTCCCTCCACGTTGTCCAGGTACCTCGAATGCAAGTTGACGCCCCCCACATCCCTTAGGCCCCCCCTCTCATTTCAGCCGCAGCTGGGGTGGGAGTTCTAAGTCACATCCCCCCGTTGCACGGCACAGATACGCCCCGAGGTGGCCTGAGCATCGACGAAGGCACAATGGTATGTGATGGGAGTCCGGAGGCTGTGCAGCCTTCTGGGACTGGCTTGGCAGCCACGGTGGCATCTGTAAGATGCAGCTGGTGCCCAGCCCAACCCCCCACCCCCCCACCCCCCGGGTTCACTGCAGCTGCAGTGGGCAGTTCCCAGCACATCAGCTTTCCACCTGGGCCTCGGGTCTCTCTGTTTCTCCAGGAGAGCAGGTGCAGCCCAGAAGTGCCGGGGAGTCAACGCCCGACGGGCAGCCTTCACGCAGTAGGGGGCAGAGCTGGTGCGTACGGCTCAGTCTCCCTGTCCTCTGGCAGGACAGTCCCCAGGGGCTACTGCTTGGTTTCTTAGAGGATCTCAAGCAGGATTGAGCCGCCGTTGCCTTTGGAGTTAACCTGCTCACTCACACATCCTTTCGTGGCTTTTCACCTCCTCCCTCTTCTGACTTCCTTCCTGGGCTCCCTCTCCACTGAAATACCTGCCCCAAGCCCTTGTCTTAGGTCTGCTTTGGGGGAATCCCCAGCTAAGACAGCCCTGTTTCCCTTCCTCCTTCTGTATTCCCTGTATTGGTTAGAGCTTGCTAAACTGCTCTAACAAATGACCCCCAAGAGGCTTTGCTCAAATACATACAGCAGAAATGTGTGCCTCTCTCACACAGCAGTCCAGGGCGGGTCCTCCAGGGTGAGTGTTCTAGCTCTGCAGGAAGGGGATCTGCTCCCTCGCGGTCACTCAGGGACCCAGCAGCTCCGCATCCCATCGTGAGACCCCCAGGGGGCGCTGGCTGTCAACAGCCCAGCTCCCAGGAAGGGAAGAGCTTGGAGTAGAGCCTGTGGGTGTACGACCAGGCCAGGGGGAGGCCACATCACCACTCCCACTCTCTTTCCACTGCTCTTCGATTGTCACATGGAGAGGACCTGGTCTCGAGGCCACACTTAACTGAAAGAGAGGCTGGTGGGCCCCTTACCCAGTGATCCTTCTCGACTGGCCCAGGAGGGGTCTGCCACACCTTCAAATCCACTTCTGAAACAAAAACAAGCAAACGAACAAAAAAACAAGCTACTGTCCCCATAAGATGCTACTTGGAACACAGTTATGTGATTTTGTGATTTAATTTTGTTTTTGCCTAATTTTAGGCAGCCGAGGTCTCGGACACCTGCTCCGTCCAGGCAAGCTGCTGCGGGCCTTCCTGTCTCCATCCCACACCCGCTCCGTGCTCCGCACCACCGGCTTCCCCACGCATCTCAACCACGAGTCTCCGGAAGAGACGGACGGCCCGCCGGGAGCCGCGGCTCTGGCTGCCTTCCTGCAGGCCTGGGAGAAGGGGGTCTCCATGGTCGTCGACCAGAGAGCCTTGAATTTGTACAAGAAGCTTGTTGACGAGGCTGTACAGCGAGGTGAGCAGTGAGAGGAGGGGAGTCCCTTTAGCCAGATGAGGCTTCGTGGGCGGAGGGTGGAGGGAGTCAGCGTTTGTGGGACTTCCTCCGGGTGCCCAGGCACAGTGCTATGCACCTGACACGGGGCGTTTTCCTTAACACTCAGAACAACTCTTTGATAGCAACAGCCTTATCCCCATTTTATAGATGAAGAGACTGAGGCTCTGAGAGGGCCAGGTGATCTAACCAGGTGGGGATGATGAGCTGGAATTTGAAGCCGGGTCCACCAGGCCCCATGATCCCACCTGTGCACATGCTTCCCCCCGTGAGAGGCAGGAATGACCTGCAGAGGACACTGAGACACCCGGGACAGGCCTGGACCCCCGAGTTGAGGGTAGAATGGTCGAGAATAGGGTGGTGGAGAGACTGAGACAGCCGTGTCCCACAAAGCCCAAATGGGCAGGATGCCCCACGCTTCCCAGGTTCCCAGAACACCTAGATGGGCATCAGGGCCGAGAGTGCTGACCGTGCGAGCCTGTGACGCTGCTGTCAGTGTGTCAGAACCGGCCTAGGGTGCAGGGTGAACAGCTGCTACTCATCTCTCGTCGTTCTGTGGGTGTCACTCAGGCATCAGCCGGGAGCCTACCGCGCTTCCGACTGCCTGTCTCTCTGTGTCCCTCAAAATGCATTCTTCAGAGAAGTACTTTTGTCTTCTTAGCCTCTCAAAAGGGCTTCCACCTCAGGAAGGCATATCCTAAAGCGCCTGCTACGTTAGAAGTTGTGAAAAGGCTGTGTCTGGACATACAGAATCCATTTCACACGATGAGTGTGTATTGAGTACCTAATATGTGCCAGGCACTATTTAAGGCTTTTGGGATCCATCGGTGAACCAGACTGATAGCCATCCTGCCCTCATGGAGTAATGGAGACGGTAAACAGCATAGGAAAATTATACAGTGCATGTGTAGTGTGTTAGAAGGAGATACGCTATGGAATAGAGTGGCCCGGGACCCAGGGAACGGGGACTGACGGGCCAGGCATGAGGGGGGCGCGCAGGGGTGGGCTGCTGTCTTAAACAAGAGGGTCAGGGAAGACCTCCTGGACAGGGTGCCATGTGAGCAAGGCTTGAAGCGGGTGCAAGAGTGAGGCCTGGACTGGCTGCGGGAAGAGTGTCCCTGGCTGTGACAATGGCTATGAGGTGGAGTGGGGGCCCGGCAGGCTTAAGACAGGGCAGCAGCCAGCTGACCGGCCTGGAGTGGGTAAGGAGAAGAGGAGCTGGATGGAGGACAGAGGTCACGGTTAGGTTTTAAAGGATACCCCAGGGGCTTCCCTGGTGGCGCAGTGGTTGAGAGTCCGCCTGCCAGTGCAGGGGACACGGGTTCGTGCCCCGGTCCGGGAAGATCTCACATGCTGCGGAGCGGCTGGGCCCGTGAGCCATGGCCTCTGAGCCTGCGCGTCCGGAGCCTGTGCTCCGCAACGGGAGAGGCCACAACAGTGAGAAGCCCGCGTACCGCTAAAAAAGAAAACAAACGGATCCCCCGGGTAGCCACAGGCACAAGCGTAGGGAAAGGAGATGGGCCAGGTTACGGCAGGTGGGAGACGAGGCTGCTGCCCTATGGCGAGTCCTTCTGTCCCCCAGTGATTTCAGCCACAGCTGGGGTGGAAGCTCTGAGTCACACAGACGGCCCAGGCCAGTGCTCTGTGGGGAATTCTCCAAAAACCCCTGCAAAACCACCCAGCCTGGAAGTATGGGGACTAATGCCTCCAGGGCCCCCTCAACCCGTGGAGAGTGGGAGCTGCTGCCTTGCCTCCCGTCTTTTGGAGTCATGCAGGTCCCGGAGGAACGGAGACCCCATTGCCTTGAAAATGCACAAACCCTCCTGTTGGCTTCTCCTTCCCGTCCTCACTGTCCCTGTTCCCTCCTGGGATCATCTCCCAAATAAACCACCTGCACCCAAGTCTTTGTCTCAGACTCTGGTTTCAGGGGACCCCAGAGAGATGAATGGTAGAGATGGAGGTTGTGAGAAGCAGCCAGATCTATGTCTCGAAGGTAGAGTCGTGACTGCTCTCATGTTCGGGGCAGGGGACTGAGAGGATGGAATTGGCGTGGACTGGTTCAGGGAAGACCATGGTGGAGCAGGCCTGACCTTGCACCCTGTTGGTGAGGGTGTAAAGTGGGGCGGCCGCTGTGGAAAACAGTATGGCAGTTCCTCAAAAAATTAAAAATAGAAAATACCGTATGATTCAGGAATTCCACTTCTGGGCGTGTACCCAAAAGAACTGAAAGCAGGGACTCAAACAGATATTTCCACACCCGTTTGCACACCCAGCAGCACTGTTCACAGTAGGCAAAAGGTGGGAACAACCCAGGCGTCCATTAACGAATGACTGGATAAACACAGTGTGGTCTGTACGTACAGTGGAATGTTACTCAGCCTTGAAAAGGAAGGACATTCTGACACATGCTACAACACAGATGAACCCTGAGGACATTATGCTGAGTGAAATAAGCCAGTCACAAAAAGACAAACCTGTATGACTCCACTTGTATGAGGTGGGCAGAGTAATTAAAATCTTAGGGACAAAGGGTAGAATGGTGGTTGCTGGGGACTGGGGTCGGGGGAAGGGGGAGTAAGTGTTTAATGGGTACAGGGTTTCAGTTTGGGAAAATGTAAAAGTTCTGGGGATGGGGCTTCCCTGGTGGCCCAGTGGATGAGAGTCCGCCTACCGATGCAGGGGATGCGGGTTCGTGCCCCGATCTGGGAAGATCCCACATGCCGCGGAGCGGCTGGGCCCGTGAGCCATGGCCGCTGAGCCTGCGCGTCCGGAGCCTGTGCTCCGCAACGGGAGAAGCCACAACAGTGAGAGGCCCGTAGTTCTGGGGATGGATGGTGGGGATATTTGCACAATGACATGAATGCGCTTAATGCCAGAGAACGGTACTCTTAAAGATGGATAAGATGGTAAATTTTACATTAGGTGTGTTTTACCACAATTACAATTTGAAAAAATTTATAAGAGTGCAAGTTTGAGCCTGGGTAACTGAAAGTGTGGGTACCTATTAAACATGCAAGTGGGGAAGACAGCAGGCAATCAGATCCACGAGTCGAGTTCAGGAGAGCCATCTGGGCTGGAAAGAGGAACTGGAGAACAGTTGGCGTGTTGATGGCCTCAAAGTCAAGACACTGGATGACATCATGGAGGGAATAAGTGGAGACAGAGAGAAGGACCCAGATTGCGCCCTGGGACGCTCCACGCCCAGAGGTCAAGGGGAAGAGCAGGATCCTTCGTCCGAGAAGGATCAGCACTGAGGAAGGAGGAAAACCAAGAACCGTGTTGTCACCAAGGAGAAGGGAGAGCCAACCGTGCCCACTGCTTCACAGGCCGGCAGTCTCTTCCATCTGGCCACGCCCTGCTGGGTGTTTTTTGCTGCCCACTTTCCCAGAAGTCGCTCTGCCCTCCTGTTCACCTGACCGCCGGCTCCATGCTGGACCTCAGCTCAGAACTGGGTCTTGCCCACACAGTGGCTTGGAATTTGGAATTCGCTGTATTAGATTTTGCAGAACTTTCATTACATGTGGACAAAGAAAGTGGAAGCAATTTGGCCTTTTAATGACAATGATTTCAGTTCTTTTTTTATAAGTAAAGCCTGGGAAATGTTTAAAGAAGAAAGCTCAGTCATTGATTCCCTGTCTTGAAGATAAATTGATAAACTGGTTCTTTATAGCTTGGGTGCAGGGTCTCCGCTCGCCCCGCCCTTCCTTGCCTGGGCTTCCTTCTCTCTGTGTGCCCCCCTGGGGGATATGCTATGTTCCCCACCCTGTGTGGCTCCCTGCTGCCCCGTCTTACTAGTATCCTGTATCCTCAATCCAACTTCAAAGAAATAAAGAGCCAGCCTTTACACAGCGCCTGCTTTGTGCCAGGCCCCCAGCTTGGTGCCTGGCAAACATCACACCATTGCGTCCACAGCAATCCTGGGAGAGGGCCTGATTAACCCCATTCTGCAGAGGGGGAAGCCAAAGCTCAGAGAGGTCCCGTGGCTTGCCCGAGGTCACACAGCCAGGAATTGTTGTTTGGTTCTATTCAACCCCCTTGCGGGGCCAACAGCCTGCCCCTCACAGCACACAGAGGGGCTGGGTCTTTCGACCTGTCGTGACTGCCCCCCATTCCCTGGGGTGTCACGTCACACATAGACTGTGCCTCATGGGTATCCCTTGATGGACGACTGCCCTCCACTTGTCTTTCCCCCTAGGCGGGGGGTGGAACTGGAGAAGGGGGGTTGGGAGAGCCCCGGTAGGGGCGCTTCAGGAGCTCGGACAGTGATCTGGCTCCTTGCCCTCAGCTCGCCCCATCGACCCACTGGGGGGGCCGCGACAGCTCCCAAAGGGCTTGCGGTGACAACATGGGGAGGCTGGGGTGGGGAGCAGCTGTCTCGAGGCCGTATGGTTTTAACATAGACAAGGTGCTTATTTGGGTTGGCTTTATGTGAGGGGGTGAGGGGCTGATGATGGAGCTTATGGGGGTAACCAAAGCTCCCCCAACCGCCCCTTGATACTGCTACTGGGCCACAGAGCAGTCCAGGAGCTCCTGCAGAACCAGCGGGACCGTGAGTACTGGGTCACCATCCCCGTCCCAGGCCCTCTGTTAGCCTCTGGATAAGACTTCGTCCTAGGCCAGCGAATATGCAAAGATTCTACCTCAAACGGCTCTGAGGGGGTTTAGTTAATGGAAACCAAATCAATTTTGTTTTATTATGGGATTTGTGTGTGTGTTCCACATATTCTACAATAATATGTATTATTATTATAATTAGAAAGTGTGCTTTTTTATTTTATTTATTTTTTTTTTTTTTTTGCGGTACGCGGGCCTCTCACTGTTGTGGCCTCTCCCGTGGCAGAGCACAGGCTCCGGACGCGCAGGCTCAGCGACCATGGCTCACGGGCCGAGCCACTCCGTGGCATGTGAGATCTTCCCAGACCGGGGCACGAACCTGTGTCCCCTACGTCGGCAGGCGGACCCTCAACCACTGCGCCACCAGGGAAGCCCTGATACTGTTTCTTAAAATGATCTGAGAGACCAACGCCCAGCACAGGCTCTGGCACACAGTGGATTTTGAACCAAGTTCTGTAGGAAAGAAGGAAACGAAGACGGAAGGGTCCTTCGCACAAACACAGGAAGGCATGAGCCAGCCAGGCACCTGGCTCTCCATAAGGACCCTGTGCCCTCACCCCGGCAGGTTTGACCATCTGGTGGCGATCGAGCGCACGGGAGGGGCTGCCGATGGCGATTACTACAACGCAAGGAAGAGGAACATCAAGCACTTGGTGGACCCCATCGATGGTCTTTTCCTTGCAGTGCAGAAGAGTTCTGGAATTTCAACAACTGGTAAGCAAGGGGCGCTGAGAATGCGACAAGAACATGTCAACACTAAAAACCTTTTTTATTGACTGTTGAACACATGACAAAAAGGAGTTATATGGGACCACTGTTTTCCACTTCAGAGTTGGTCTTTGTTTATTCTGGTTGGTATAGACAATAACGATGCTGACATTTAGAAATCCAGTGTTCCCACGAGCAGGAAAGGGAAATGACACTTAACTGAGCATATTCTATTTGTCCAACTCTAAAACATCAAATCTAATAATAAAATAATGACAATAATAAGCTCAAGCCATGATATATTATTTTGGTCATACAGGGTGAATGTACCATATGTATTCTGTATCATCTTATGAAGTTTATTCATTTTTAAATATATCTTGAATGTATGATCAGTGTGATATTATGATTGCTAATAATGGGATTATTCATGTTTGTAGAGAAATTTATGGTATTCAAAGAGGTTTCACAATCATTGTATTGTTTAAGCCTCTCTTAAAACCTGCAGGTAAGGAAGGTATAGTTTCCAAAGGTGAGGCCTAGGGAGGTAATTAGGAGTAGAGTCCAGACTCCCAGGGCCCTACCGACTATGCTTTTCGTGGGACCGTGTTGCCTTTAGGAATTTCTGAAAGGCTTGATGTGACTGGGATGCCAGCAGTCCTCCCCTGGGGTGGGAACCAGAGCGTGGAGAAATGAAGGCACGTTTGTCGTGTTCCATATTTACTTTTTCTGTCCATTCAAACACTTCAGAATGTTTCCCAGGCCCATTAGTTGCCTTTGGCTTTTGGGGTTTTGATGAGACAATGAAAGCCTTCCCGGCTGAGTAGAAAATTTCCACAAATCGCCCTGGTCTTTCCCAGAAGAGGCCTTGGGTGTGGTGCTCCCAGTGCGGCTGGCTTCATGCTTCCTGCCTCTCTGGGCTGGGGAGGCCTACCAGGATAGAGCGGAAGGGCTTTCTGTGTCTGCACGGGCCAGCAGGGTCCAAAGAAACTGTAGAGCAAACACTCTTCCCCCGCTGAATGGACCCCCGATCTATGCTCTTCCCCCAACGATGCACCCAAGATCCCAGAGGAAGCAGGTGGAGCTGGCTGTGCTTTCAAGTTGCCCCCTTTGTGGACCCCTGGACCCTTGGCCTCAGGAGCCTGAGCCCCTCCTGTGGCTGACCAGCCCCCTGCTCAACAGAGTTGCCCCCAAACCCTCCTTTCCCTCCTTTGCTCCATCATCACCCCTGTTCCTCAGTTCCACAGGCAGCTGCCTTGTCAGGGAATCACACTCAATTGAGAATCAAGACTACCCGGGTCCTGCCCCTCTCAGAGACTCTGTAAAGTGAGGTCAAGTCCACAGACGGGACACACCTGAGGAGCGAACAAGATGAACTTCATAAAATGTTAAAGGGCAGAGACAGAAATAGACAAGATATCAGTGCTAGGTGTTGTTATTTTCTTTCATTCAGTGGACTGTCATGGATCTAGAAAACTGTTCTGAGAAAAATCCTCAGGGTGAGGACCTAGGGCGTCTGGTCATCCACAATCATCGCATTCTTTTGGCCGAGACCAGGTCTCTGATGTCCAAGGTGAGTCAGCTCCAGGCCCCTCTCCACCATCACGCAATGAATGCTTGCTTCTGGTGGAATTCTTCCACATATTTGTAGAAATAGACACAAAAACAGTCATACAACAATTCTGTAGGCTTGAGGGGCCCAGCCTTCTGTCCTTGGGGCACTGGGATAATCCCCTTGGTGAATGGTTATCTTGAGGCAGCTGCAACTACCTTCCAGAGGCAGATTCAGCTGACCTCTAGTCTACAGACTCCTCCAGAAACACTTGGACGCAGGACCAAATGGTGTTCCTAGGGCACCACCTCAAAGGGCACAGGCTGCAGGGCTTGTTAGAGTTTTTGCATCTTGTTCCTACAAGGGTGGAGTTACCTGGTAATTACTTCTAGCCAGTTCACCTCTCTTGAACACCGTTTATTTCACCAATGAATTAAATAATATCTGACAGGGCTTCCTTGGTGGCGCAGTGGTTAAGAATCCGCCTACCAATGCAGGGGACACGGGTTCGAGCCCTGGTCCGGGAAGATCCCACATGCCGCGGAGCAACTAACCCATGTGCCACAACTACTGAGCCTGTGCTCTAGAGCCCGCGAGCCACAACTACTGAGCCCACTTGCCACAACTACTGAAGTCCGCGTGCCTAGAGCCCGTGCTCCACAAGAGAAGCCACCGCGATGAGAAGCCCACACACCGCAATGGAGAGTAGCCCCGCTCGCTGCAACTAGAGAAAGCCCACGCCCAGCAACGAAGACCCAACATAGCCAAAAATAAATAAATAAAATAAAATTTAAAAAAAAGAAAATTTCTGACATTTACTTATTGTAACATATTTATTCTAGCATTTATTATGCTACAATAATTAACAAACCTTCTGGTGCCTAGCAGATTGGCCTTTATTCTGTGGTCTCTTTCAAATGCTAACAGGCCACCCCTGGGGTGTGAATTCCTCATTATGCTGCTTCACATATTAACCAGGCGCCTATCTGGTGTAGATTAAAATTAACTAAAATGACACACATACCTTTCACATACTTGAAACAGAAGGCTTTAAATTACAGAATTGACTTTAACAAACCTATACCCGTTCCCTTCTACCAATGGAATGCTGTCCGGTCACAGTAATGAGACTCAGGGCCTTGTGGCCCCTCCCTGAGCCGGAGCTACTGGCAAGGAGAGGAAGTCCTGGATGCCACCATCTCTCGTGGACCTGGCGCCCCATCTGTGACTGGAGAATGTGACCCAGCGGTGGACACGGCCACACTCTGCTGAGTTCCAAACCTGGACTCATTTTTAACTGGAGAAGTTTCTAGAATACCTAAGAAGTCCAGCATCTCCTGGTAGTGTGAAAATGTATCCAGAGCCAACCCCTTTCCCCACCCTGAGGCACATGTGAAGGGGCTGCTCTGCCCCATAACCACGCCACATTTTGCCTGATCCTGTGCCCTGACTCAGTTCCCTTCCCTCCAGCAGTCGGTGACAGAGGCAATGAGCTTGGGATGGGCAAAGTCAAGGAGGCCGTGAAGAGGCACATATGAAATGGGGACGTCATTGCCTGTGACGTGGAGACTGACTTTGCGGTCATCATCGCTGGTGAGTGCTCAGACGGCCAGCCAATCAGGCAAGGCTGCCTGGGGGAGGGACCTGGCTTGGAGCCTGTCCAGCCAGAAAATCATCTCCTCCATGAGTGGAGTCTAGAGGGCGCCAGGGTAAGAAGGGGACCTGGTTCTTAGCCTCTGGCCTCTCAGTCATTCAACAAACGTTTGCTGTGGGCCAGACATTGCTCTGTGTACTGAGGCTGGAGCAGCAAGGGCCCTGCTCCACAGAGTGCCTGCTCTAGTGTTGGGAGATGGACAATGAGCCCTAACAAAGAAATATACCAGATGGTGCTAAACAGTGAGAAGAGCTACAGGTAGATGAGAGAGAGTGACAGGCAGCCCACTTTAGATCAGTGCTCTGAAGAGGGGTCATCTCTGCTTTTATCTGTACCTCCTGTGGGGTGGAAAGGAAGAGAACAATCTGGCAAACGTTTGGAAGATGCAGGAAGCTTCAGCTCTCCTTTCACTTACCTCTGCCCCAGGCTTCCCTGCCCGTCCCTGCAGCTGCCCTTCCCATCAGGACCAACCTTTCCTGTGTCTGGGTCCTTCCAGGCCCCACCCTTCCTCCCTTGACTTCATCACAAGTTTCAGGAATTTTGACCCATACCTGAGAAAGGCCCTCTCCCTTTTCATTGTCAAAGTCAAAAACAGCCGTGGAGATAAGCAGAAATATCTGAGGGTACCAGTGCCTGGGTAAGAAAACTTGAACTGTAATTGACAAGTTGCTGGAAGCTTCGTGTGGACAAGTCTGAGTTAGAAGCTCCAGAGGGACCTAGTCATAGGAGGCTCCCACCTTCTGTGAGCTTTACCTTCACAGGCTCTACCAGGTCCACACTGAATATTAGAGAAAAATCCCCTCATGCTTTAGGTAGGGGAGGGGAAAGTGAGCCATTTTTGAAATACACCAGAGCACCTGTTCTTCTGAACAAGGCCTGCCCTCGGAAGAAACTATTATACCAGAGCCTAGCCTGCTAGGGTTTTAACAGAGCCTAACTTACCTAGGGGAGAGAAATACCCAAAAGTAGATAACATGCAATAACAGATGGATAATGTAAGCAGAGAAATGGAAATTCTAATAAAGAATCAAAAAGAAATGCTAGAGATAAAATACACTTGTAACAGAATGAAGAATGCCTTTGATGGGCCCATTAGTAGATTAGATACAGCTGAGAAAATAATCTCTGACCTTGACGATATGACAATGGGAACTCCCTAGACTAAAAAGATAAGAGAAAAAAGACTGAAAGGAACAGAAAAGAATATCCCAAGAATTGTGGGATAACTACAGCGCTGTAACCTATTTGTAATAGGAATCCAGAAGGAGAAAGAGAAAAGAAATATTTGAAGAAATAATGACTGAGAATTTTCTCCCAAATTGATGTCAGACACCAAACAATAGATCCAGGAAACTCAGAGAATACTAAGTAGGATAAATGCCAAAAAAACTACACCTAGACATATGTTCAAATTTCAGAAAATCAACAATAAAGAAAATATCTGGAAAGAAGCTGGAGGAAAAAAACTCTTTACCAATAGAGGAGCAAAGATAAGAATTATATCCAACTTCTCCTCAGAAACCATACAAGCAAGAAGAAAGTGGAGTGAAATATTTAAAGTGTTGATAGAGAAAAATCACCAACCTAGAATTATGTATCTTGGAAACTTTTCCTTTATAAGTGAAGGAGAAATAAAAAATTTCTCAGACAAACAAAAATTGGGGGAATTTGTTGCTAGTAGACCTATCTTGTAGGAAATGTTAAAAGAAATTCTAGGGACTTCCTTGGTGGTGCAGTGGATAAGACTCTGTGCTCCCAATGCAGGGGTCTGGGTTCGATCCCTGGTCAGGGAACTAGATC